GAACCAAATGAATACTTCTTTACCAAAAGCATCTCAGTAAAAGGTGAGTTCCTTTTGTGCCCATGAGAGCGGGATGCTGCATAAAGTAAATTCTATTCTATTAATTGCGCTGTTCCAATGAGTCCAATTGTTATTATAATGTATTCATTATAACCTGCAGCATTAAACATTTGTTAGCTGCTCATGAGGAGATTTGGATGATGACTAAACAATGTCTTCTTTCTTACGTTGTAATGTAATAAGCCCGTTGACATCAATATCTGTGTTCTTCTACTGACATATATAAGAAAACATGTAGCTGTACACAACATAAATGCCTGCATTGTTTTTGTTTCCTCCAGTACAGTTTTACAACATTCTGTGGTATTTATAAATACATTTGCATAGTTTGAGCCTATCTATTCCCTACTTGAACAAAGATCATTGTACAAAATATGTATATAACAAAAATCATTGTAAATAAATTTTGCAGATTCAGACAAATAAACTGACAGCTGAAGGTGTAAATTTCTTTAGATTCTCTAAATTCTCATGATGATATTTCCATAATCCTTCCTGTTCCACTTTGAGTTGCAGTAATACTGGGGCATAGGTTGAAACTACTCCCAGAGGCGGGATTGGACTCAAATTATACGAGTTCCCACATTCACTGTCCCTGTCTTTGTGGAGGCCTCTGGTAAACCCCCACAAGGGGTGTCATCAGTACAATAATGAGGCTCCTGTTTTGCCTTTGTGAGGTGTTATCAATGCTGCAACACATTTATGTAATCATGCAAGGTTTCTATGATATCATCACAGATTTTGGTGCGGATGATAATGCTGCCCAAGACGTTATTTATTCAGTGGAAGGTTAATAGGGAAATTGCTGTGCAAAGTCCTTCTCTCCACAAGCATAAGAAGGTTTTTTCGTCTTGCTGTTCCAATGCATATGGCTGTTGTGTCACTCCTCACTAGGTGTCAGTGTAGTTCTGTAAGGATCAGCCAACAAGCAGACAGGCAGTTCACAGCGGCAGATCTTCAAGGCTCCATCGAGAAGTGTGATGGTGTACATCAGGTATTACTACACTAAACATTTTTGTTGGGGGTTCTTTACCACATGTGGGGGGTAATTGACAAAGAAAAACATTTGTATACAAAAATAAATGTAGACAACTCTTCTCAGTTCTCTTTTGAGCACACAGCATGGAAGACGTACATGTGGTCAAAGAACTGCAACAAAGACATTAGAAGTGACAGCAACTATGGTGAAACATCCATAGGATGTGAATCTTCCGATCAGTGGAACTGCGGTACATATGACAATTGCATCAAATGGTGATACATGTAAACAGAATCAAAATGTATGCAGGCCTGTGTATTTCGACACGCTTGTCTCTGAATGTATGGCTTAATGTGTGAAACGTAAATAATTATAATACTACAGATGTAGACAGAGGCTCAAACCAGTTTCAGGCACCAAGTGTTGGAAAATGCTGGTTTTCAGAAATATTCTTTAGTTATTTAACACAGAAGGGTCTTCACTAAACAAACTATTGAAGAGCTACAAGACATAAGAACACTATGTAAAATAGATGAGAAAAGAACGCCCTGTAAAACCTAGCAACCAATAAACAATAATCACACTTGTCTTGGGTGCTGTGGATTACAGTGCCCAATAGTACATCCTTAAAAGATGTCTATCCTAGGTGGGATTTTAAAGTGTGCAAAACGAAACATGGCACAAGTGGCTAATCCATAAAAAATATGTATCACATTTTAACATTAGCTTATAAACATAAGGTGTGCACATACCCTGAAAGCATTAAAAAGCTACCGATGGCTGTGAAATTATATCCAACCCTTACCAAAAAAGTAAGGGTTGAATATATTATATCCAACTCAGACGTTACCTGTTATACATTGGATGTTATGAAGTCAGACATCAGCAGGAAAAAACACAAATATTAATTTGCTCTAGCAAAGGTAACCAATTAGCACTTTGGCCACTTACTGTCCCTTAACATTTTACATAAACTACCAGTCCAGGTTATCCAACCATTATAAAAGGGAAAGATCTACTTTCCTTCTTAAGCCTTTAAACACAGATGACAGAAGAGGATGTTATTAAATGTCCTGCGTCACATGAAAGCTGACACTACATTGCAAAACCATATTGTAAGCTTCCACTTGACACAAAGCTTCAAATATTCATAACTATATTCATAACTCTCCAGCTAGCTACATGTTGAGATAACGAATTGCAAAAAAACTGCATCTTCTTAGGACAAGGTCAGACAGGCTTCCTAAGCGACACTTTCAGTAGTTACAAAATGTAGTGTTCAAAACTCATAATACATAGAGGAGTTTTACCACAACTTAGTCTAGGGGGCCAGATAGTTAAATGGTCAATGAGGATAAAAGATTAATCTTGATTAAGTTCAACAATACCTGTAACTTTGGTCCACGAGAAGAGAAAATAAAATCTCAGGAACTGTTGCCAATTTATGGTTTTTAACTACAGAAAAATATCAGAGCTCAAAGTGCCTGTGTGACTTCACCCTAAGGGACATGTGCCTGGTAGTGTTAAATAAAATCCCCCAAAAGGTGACAACACCAAATACTTTCAATGGAGGGGAGAGATCAAACAGTGATATTTCCGACATGGTACATCATGCCTACAAAATAATTACATCTGTAACTGATTATTTAGATTTTTTAAATATGATATAATGCATGTATATGAGCAAACAACTACTTCTATATTTTTATTATTATGTGAGGTGTAACATACATGTCCACTTGGCATGCTTGCCTATACCTATACTTTCAGTAGGTCCTCCTTCCTACTGATGTATCTGAATATTTGAAGAAATGTTGAATAAAGTGAAATTGAGTGTTTTCTTAAGCAGACTATAAGGGGGTACTAGGATTATCATTAATACATTTGTTTGATCTTAGGTGAAGTTTCTTTCTGGGACAGAAATGCAGTATAATGAAAAGTAAAGCTTAAAATATTTTCCGTGTGTAAAACAAACTATAAGAAGTGAAACTCACTGGTACATTAGGAGATTTAGATGTTCTTTGACACTTAGCTTTTCCTTCCCAAAAAAATTGCCTTGCTCTTAAAGCATCATGGGTATCCCTGTCCCTGACACCTCATATACCAAGTCTACGAATTGATATCGTGCGACATCACACTAACAAATTTTCATTTTCTTCTGGTTAACTCTTCTACCTTCTATCATATTTACTTAACAGATACATTTAAAGCGGAAGGAATGTATTGGAGACAGATTATCAAACAAAGCTATTATAAATGCTCACATAAATGGTTTCATTACTGTATGGTTTCATGTACGGCATCTAGCAATACCATTTTTGTGCTTAATATTACAGTTTATGATGTCTGATGTACTCATATTGATATGTCACTTGTATAAATCATCTTTTGTATATAACCTCAATAAAAACTTACATGCTTAAAAAAAACAAAAAAAAACAAAAAAAAACAAACTATATTGTTCCCTTGTAGCAACTGCCATGTTTCCTAGCAGATGGCTCAATTCCTAATATGCTGAGAGTGCTATCTGGTTAACAAATCATTGATTAACTCTGAGGACCTAACTTTTTAACAGATGGACAGGGGTATGAAACTCTGCAAAAATGTACCCAACAGCTATTAAAAAAAACAAAAAAACAGTTGTGTCAAGCTCTACTAACCTCAGTTGAGTCTTAAGTCAATTTGATTAAAGACTTTGCTGATGTCTGTGCCCACAATGTAGAGCTACATTGGGGTCACATGATCCAACATGCTGACACTAACTATACAGCTATATCGTCCCAGGTGCCCTGCTTGTTTGAATGAAGCCACATAAAATTAAAGTTTAACTCAAGTTTAATGCATGGTGGCTCTATAAAGTCATCAGATTTTAAAAGGTTTACTGTAAGAAAATAGTAATTCTAAAGCTGGGCCTACACGGTTAGAGTTTTGTTTGAAAACGGTTGTTTTATGAACATTTGTTTGAATTTCTAATAGTTAATGGGGTTAAATCGATGATCGTTTTCAACCATAGGGATTAAAAAAAAAAAAAAAAAAAGACAAAAAGGAGCAGGATGGAATTTTTTTTCCGAATGAATGAAATTCTAACAGTGAATGTGGCTTTCGATTGGGGAAAAATTCCAAAATCGAATGTTAAAAATCAAACCAAAAGTTTCGAACAACAATCATCAAATTTCTGATGGCATTATCATATGTTCTGATGAGCCTTTTCATACAAATTCTAATGGAAACCAGGAGGTGTGATGATATGTTTGGGTCGTAGCTGCATATGCCTTGCAGTGCCTTTTTACTTGGTGGAATTCTACTCACAAAATTTGGGCGTTGGATGCTCTTTTGCATGCAATGCAATGTGAATTAAGCCTTAGCAAATGATAGTGAGCAACACAGGACAGGTTTTACTATATATAGTTTGCACCCACTGAAATGTATGATCTAGAAAATTCCTGCATGTATCTAGCAAATAGAGCAATTTATACCTGCAAATTTGCCAATTTCTACAGCGAGCATGAATTTACTAATGATTATAGAGACAAGTACAGATTACAGTACTAAATTATACATTTTCTCAGAAAAATAAACTATGGCTTAGAATTGGTAAAGATGATTGAATAGTAGTCAAAGAAAAAAAAACAACCAGAGTGTACATTTTCTGATGTTTTCTATTATTTGGGTACAAATAATGGCAGTGGTGTGGACCCGGCACAGTCATGCGACTGGGATATGGGTGACTTTCCATTGCCTGACTTTAATCTAATGTCAACTAACTCTGGACCAGGTAATGCTCTGTTCAACCCAGACATGCCACTGAATATGCTTGGTCATTACTTTTTCTGGCACAACTGGGTGTAATGAATATTTGATCTCTCCCACTCTGGCTACTAAGCAACACTTTAGACGACATGTAATGAGATATAAAATTTGACACAAAAAAGCACTTCAGGCAACTAATTACCATATAAACCAGGTAGAAGTGTTGTTCATTCGTTGACACTGCATGGTATTTTCACAAAAAGAACAAAGGAAAATTCCCAGAATGTCATAAAAGTGTCTCTCAGTGCAGAGAAAGTATTTTTAAAGGAAAAACATATATAAGTTACAGCACCATATGGAATCCTCTATCATCTGGGTCTTTTGCGGGTAACAAATAATAAAACGCGTCTGATTGCATGTAGGCGATCCTTTAAGGATGTCATGGCCAGGATTGTTAGCTGTGCCTTGTTTTCTAGAGGCAGCACTGCCAGCATCCACCAACACCAGGTTGGCCCATTTGTACTGGCCTGAAAGAGGAAAAAAAAAAAAAGATATCAGTTCAATCTTTTTTCCATGCTTGTTACAATTATTGAACACCACTGAGTAAAATATACACCTACAGAGACACTATACACTTACCAGTGGATCAGATTCTTTGCTTGGCATAGGTCCAAAATGGTTAAGGATTTGTGCTTTGAGATTGTCCTTCAGAGAGGTAAACCAGGCAAAAGCTTGATCATAAACAGCATTGTGTAACTGAAGAAGCTCCTCATATTCTTGTCCTTCTACCTGAGGGACAGATACAAACAAAAAAGACACATGACAATAATCATATGAAAAAGTGGGATAAATACTGTCATAAATATACATGCTGAAGCTGCACAGTTCTGGAGCCAGACAGTCAAACCTAGAAGCTAAGTGGATAATTTAAGTAGTGGAGCAGGATATTGACGCCAGCCGGAAAAGAATACCAGCAGACGGCAACTACTGGCATTTGTTTTTTTAGTAGAACATAGTGGAATCACATACTGTATATGGGCACATCCAACAGGAAATTGAATTATGTATTAGAAGTCACATGCTTGATCTTATCTATGTGCAGCATGGCTTCTGTACCTTGATTGGCTTGGCTTTACTCCTGGTTACTGTCTATCTGCTGTCAGCCCCAACTCCAGTCCGTATTAATATTAAAACTGGCCTATACCATCTGTCATTTCCTCATCAATTAGTACAGGGGAACAAAGCAGAAGACCATAACCTGGCAGTGTCATGTAGTGCAGTCTAACTCCCCTCAAGTAGTTCACTAGTGAAGACCAGGAACGTCTGAAATAGCCCATAAATATAACATGCCAGTTTCCATGCCTAAGAGGGCAGGAAGATGCTCGCTGACTGACAACTCTCATCAATTAAGCAAGTTAGAAAATCTAGCACACTTGCTACTATTTGCCCTAAGATAAGCAGCACCAGCAATGTCTACCTGAGCTACTTTCCTCCTCCTTTCTGTTATAAATATCTTATGGGGCATTTTGAATTTTGAACACTTCCAAGATGATCTGCTCTCTAAAATGTATGAATTAACCTTGACTTCATACCTCCGTGTAGTATGTTAGTTCTCTGCGCTGTTAGTTTTAATTGTGAACCTCTCTGCTCCAAGAAAGCCTTCTACCTAAGTGCCCATATTTTATGTTGCCTAATACTGAAGCACCCCTAACACTTAAGAATTCAGGAAGAAGCAGGGTTAACATTTACCGTAAACTTTAAAATAATGCCTTAAAGTGACACTAAACTTGGGAGTTAAACCTTAAAAATACATTCAAGTACATGATTAACAAAAATGTATCTTATGCATGCATCACTCAGCTGTAGATCCTTAAATCATCTCTGAATTCATGCTGACACTGTCCTTCCATCTGGAGGGTGGCTACTTTTGTTCCCCATGGTCCCTGTGTGTGTTGCAAAGTAACCACTGCTCCAAGCTCGCTCCCATAATAGACAAAAATTTCAATACAAATTTGTAAACTATTTTAGTCCATATGAGAGTGAGATTGGAGCGGTGGCTACTTTACAATACACACAGGGACCATGGGGAACAAACTTAGCCACCCTCCAGAAGGAAGGACAGTGTCAGCACCAATTCAGAGATGATTTGAGGATCTACAGCTGAGTGATACACAAATAAGATACATTTTTGTTAATAGTTGGGTACTTGAATGTTTTTTTAAAGATTTAACTCCTGAGTTTAGTGTCACTTTAACCCCCTCCCCAACATTAAACATAGGTCTTACCCCTTAACCTGGTCCTAGCATAAACCTAACCCCTGAAGTACCCTCATCACTGAACACTTGGCCTCCCCTTCCTAAAATCCTTAGTGCCTAAATCCTCTGTTCTGTATACTCTCTTCCAGCCAAATCTTCACACAGCTCTGCACTGAGATTTTGATTCAGCCTAGGCGTGAGTCCATGTCTAACACTGTTATCACAGTGGATACACTTTCATCAGTAAAACACTCAGAATAACATCTATTATTTAGTCCTTCATCTTAGAGTTTGAGTCAAATACAGTAATCAAATGGATATTTTACAGCTGTATATGTCAGAATCATTTTTAGTTATGTTGTAATACCTTCTTGTCTTCCAAATATTCAATATTTGCAGTGTTGTAGCCATCCCTTTGTCCATGACTCAAGACTTTAAATCTACTCAAGCCAATGGTGTCAACCACTGAACGACCATCTGGAAAAAACTTCACATCCCTCACTTGTAACATGCAGCCATAGTCTGCAAACCTGAAATGGGCAAAAATTTAAATGAAAAAAAAGAAAAGACAACAATGTCTGCAAATATACCCTATGTAATTTAATTTAAAAAAAAGGAAGGTTGCATGACTAGGCAAGGACATAGAATTACCTCCTATACAGTAAATGTATGTTGTTGGGCAAAACAGAGATTAAGACTTAAAAGTTTATTTAAACTTTTGCAGCCAAATTGGGATAACACCTATTTTATATTTAATACATGCTCCCATTGACATAGCATAAGCTAAAAAAAAAAATCACATCATGCCTATTGCAGCTTAAATAGTTTTTTCCTTGCTAGAATTTCTACCTGCTTTCCCAATTATTAAGGGGCTGTGAGGGGTTTGTGTTAACCCTGTCTGTGCTGGCTCATTTCATAATTTGTAAAGTAGATTTGAACACTGCCTGTCCTAATAAAGGTTTAAATGATTACAACTCTGGCTTCTGCATTCTATGTTAATGAGAGAAACAAATTCCACACATTTCTGTCCTCGGTCACTGTGAAGGTGCTAAGAAAAAACTTTGATTTGGCCATTTTGCCTGCTGCAACAAACCAGTTAAAGTGGACCATTACCACCTTTCACTAAAAATCCCATCAACATGCAACTCTGCATGCTGATTTAAAATATTCTTATATTCATTAATTAAATAAACATTTTTCATTTACTTACAAACAAAATGTATCCACTTCCTGGTCCATTTTGGCACAAATTATGTAATGTGCCCAAGCGTTGCATTCTGGGAAGATTACATCAGCAGAGCATTGCTGGGAAATCTAATCTGTAATCTCACAGGGAAAGGCATTTTCCTCCCCTGAGATGATGTGCATGGTCACATGTCCTGGTCACATGTCCTAGTCACATGTCCTAGTCACATGTCCTAGTCACATGTGCCAGAGTTCCAGGAAGTAAAGTGAGATCTAGTATTCTGCCCTCAGTAAAAATGGCCATTGTCAGAAGACTGGGGAAGAAAATTAAAATAAGGTATGCAAAGAATATAAAGTGGGCAATTATCTAGAATAATAGAAAAAAGTTTTCCTCCTCTAAGACAAAAATTGGCAACATGTGCACATTTGCTCTAGACCAGAGCTGCAGGAGTCGTGAGAGGCTGAACTTGATGGACATCAGTCTTTTTTAACTATGTAAGGTCAAAGTTTAGTTATAGTTACAGAATTAGTAGCAAACTCTTATACTTCCTTCATTTTACTATAAGACTTTTGTCTTATGACAAATACATGATAGGAGAGCCAAATAGGTTTAAAAGAATTGATATCTGTGTGTTGCTTCAAGATTCCATGGGATTTGCATTTTGATCAGGAGGTTTCTATTCTTGCCTGGACTTCCACTTAAATGTAAATTGAATTACTACTAAGAATGAAAACAACATAGCAAACATACAGTTCAACAATTATGAGATCATGTAAACGCATGTTAAAGGAAAAAGTCTCTGTGTTAGCCATAGCTACCAATTGGACTTTTTTGCTGTCATTGGTTGTACAAACGCTTTTCTCTAGTTTTGAATAACAACATTCACCTAAAACCAGCTTACTAATCCTTAGATGTGGTGACGGCATTTGTTTTTTTTTTCCAGTTATTTCTCCTTTATTTGCACCTGGAGAAAGGGTCCCAGGTATCCTAGGGTGACAATTTGCACTCATTTCACTGCATCTTTGGAGGGACAAGATTGTCAATCTATGACATGGCTACAGAACACCTCCCTTCTTCTTATCTACATATCATAGGGTAAGTTGTTCTCTATTACACAAAAGAAAACTGGTAGGGCTGATAGCAATCCTTGAGAGAACACTGCAGAGAGCACAGGAACTTATGAGCTCACTGGATTGCTGGCAGGATTACCAGGTATTTTTTGCATTTATCACAGATATAACAAGATGCAAGTTTGTTGTTAGGGTTTACATACACTGTAAGTTCCTGCTCCCTCATTTTTCATTACCCAGTTTCTCTTTTGTTTTTTGCATCAGAGTCTGAGAAATATTCCCTTCCATGCTCTACTTCTTTTGTAAATCAACCCCAGTGTGGAAAAACTGGACATCAGCAATGGTTTTCTCAAAGATAGTAATGGCAGTAATGGGCAAAAAAAAAACAGCTGATAAATCTTATGTTTACTATTGTTCTATATGCACATTACAAAGTCTGTCAAATTGAATTAAAGATATGTAAACACATTCATACACAGTACATACTCACCCTTTTAATTCATCAGCTATACACATTCCAAACTGTTTTGTTCCAGTCTCCATGCTCCTTCTGATCATCAGGCGATAACGTGGCTCAAACACATGCAGTGGGCAAGGAATTGTTGGAAAGGCCATGGTGCAGACAAATATAGGGACATCTTTATTCAGGCTGTATCAGAGGAATAAAAAAACAAAAATCATTTAGATAATCTGTCAATCTTTAGGCTCAATAGCACATCAATGTTGATATGTTAATAGATACATTAGATCAGGGCTCAAAATTTCAAGTCCTAAGCTACTAGCCAGGCCTGAAAAGTTACTCGCCACCAGTTGCCCCACCTAAGATCAGGGTGTGATGCACAGTACAGAGGTCAGTACACAGTACAGAGATCAGCGGTCAGTATGTAACGCAGTGCAGAGGTCACAAAGAAAGTACAGGGACTTACAGTTGCCTTGACCTCTTCTTCTCCTGGTGATGGTGGGGGAGCAGCGAGGTTGCCTGCACGTCCAGCCGGCTCCAGGTGCTCTCTCTCCCGCGCAGCAGAAGCCGGCCAACTGCGGTTCTGCAGTCTTCCTCTCCCACCAATGGCAGCTGAGGTGGGCGGAGGAAACTGCTGTGGCACCGAGGAGCCCAATCGAAGAGGGCACAAACGATTGCAGTGGATCTTCTTGTTCTCTTCTCCCCACCACCGCAGTCTTAAAGAGGCATACATTAGATCAGGGCTCAAAATTTCAAGTCCTAAGCTACTAGCCAGGCCTGAAAAGTTACTCGCCACCAGTTGCCCCACCTAAGATCAGGGTGTGATGCACAGTACAGAGGTCAGTACACAGTACAGAGATCAGCGGTCAGTATGTAACGCAGTGCAGAGGTCACAAAGAAAGTACAGGGACTTACAGTTGCCTTGACCTCTTCTTCTCCTGGTGATGGTGGGGGAGCAGCGAGGTTGCCTGCACGTCCAGCCGGCTCCAGGTGCTCTCTCTCCCGCGCAGCAGAAGCCGGCCAACTGCGGTTCTGCAGTCTTCCTCTCCCACCAATGGCAGCTGAGGTGGGCGGAGGAAACTGCTGTGGCACCGAGGAGCCCAATCGAAGAGGGCACAAACGATTGCAGTGGATCTTCTTGTTCTCTTCTCCCCACCACCGCAGTCTTAAAGAGGCCTCCCTCCCAGTCCACATCTTTCGGACGTTATTAATCTGAGTTGCCCCACTCAGTATGCCCCTCGCTTGCGGTCATATTGAGTGGGGCACTAAGATTAATAATGTGCTGGATTAGTCTGACCCAGGGGCGGACTGGGCCCGGGTGGCAATTGCCCCCCAAAGCCTCTCTGATACCTTTGCAAACGCCCCC